TACTCCGATGCGTCGGGATCTTGGGGGTGTGGAACCTATTGGAATAGCGTGTGGTTTCAAGCGGTGTGGCAAGGTCTTCCCATAGCATCAGCGAACATCGCTCCAAAGGAATTGTTTCCCATTTTGGTGGCGTTGGTGGTGTGGGGCCCCCTCTGGAGAGGGCGTACCGTTTGTGCTCACTGCGACAATGGGGCAGTGGTGGAGGTAATCAACAGAGGGAGGGCGAAGGAGCCGTTGATGTGCTACCAGCTTCGCACTCTCTTCTTCATTAGTGCATTCTACAACTTCGAAGTCACCGAGCGGCACACACCGGGTCGGGCCAATGGTCTGGTGGACGCGCTGTCCCGTGATGACCTTGGCTCCTTCCGTACACAGGTTCTGGCGGCGCTCCCCAACGCAACGGCAGTCCTGGTGTCTGTCAAGTTGGGCCTCAGCAGAGCGAGTCCATTTTGGAGAACGCAAGATTGGACAGATTGGTTTTACAATTCTTCAAGTTTGCACTATCCCCAGCATCCTACCACTCGGCTCAATCACGGTACTTACACTTCTGCTCAACATTAACCCATTGCCCATTGATCAATATCGTGTGTGTCAGTTTGTAGCTACGTTGGCGGCGGAACAGGTGTCACATTCTACAGTTAAGGGCTACCTCTCGGCCCTCCGTCATTTACAGATCTATCGCTTGGGCTATGACCCAAATATCTGCGATACACCTGAGTATGGAGCCTGGAGTGTCTACCCAGTCATGGGTGGAGAGTGGAGACGTACCCCTGCCGTGGACTGACAACCGACAGGATGTTGGATGCGAGAGTGAGAATCATGACCAGTATGAAGTCAAGGAAGAGGTGTAGGGTGGGGACGGTGTAGGAGGTATGGTCAGAGGGGGAGACCCGAGTCACCTTGGAGGCTGGGGGAATGTCCCCATGTCAAGCCAACATGTAGCTGACGTCACTCTGAGGAACGCCTACCCTACAGCGCTGTGCGGCAGGAGCCGGCATGGATCGAACACCCAGACGACACCCACGCAAGGAGAACTGTGGTCACTGCGGTTACAGCTACCGCCCCTGCAGCCAAGGTCCCGTTCTCCAAGCCGGGCAGCCCCTCCTCTCTGTAGTCGTGTCTGCTCCGCTGGGGAGTCTCCTCCTGATCAGGTACTATGTGTCTGTGGTGATAGTTACACGTATGGGAAGGTTACAGTAGAATGCGCGAATTGTGGCAGCCCTGAGTGTTTCCCATGTCTACTCCGCTCATGAGCTGCCATTAGCCTCCGCCGAATCCTTCCTCCCCTACCCCTGGAAACTTCTCTACTTGCTACTCCAACTAACGCAAGATCCCTACTACCACCATCCAGTGATGCCTGTATACCTATGCCTACCACTTCAATCACTCAACTAAGTACTGCGAATATAGGAAGGTTGCAACTCCTGGTTCCAGCCCAACCCTCAATGCCAGTAACCCCCTTAACCCTGGTGAACAATGACCATGGACCACAGGTATCATGATCTAATAACAATATGATAGGTAGCCGCACAAAAACAACTACACACTCTGTAGCCTTCCACAATACCTCCATTACCTGCCCACCATTATCCCGATATACAATTGTTTCGGGAAACCAAATAACTTCTGCTACTAGAATACAACCTTCTCCACTGACAACAAGGGGATATGTCTCTCTGCCTGGGGGATCTCAACCCACTCTGTGTGGCTTCGAACCACTGATCGAGGAAATCAAGCGTGCCCTCAGGTTAGAGTTCAACACAAAAATACTCTCACTAGAAGACGAACTTTCCTGACTAATGTCTCTAAGTCAAGCATTGTCTGAGAAGCTCCAGAGGTTAGCTGCTCTTGCCTCTCTTGCCCATTCACGTACAGAAAGAGGACATAGGCCAATGTCCCACCCAACTGAGGTAACCTCCCAAATTACAAATCCCTCTCTGCTAAATCACACTGGTCCTCCCTCATCCCGTCCAACCATCCCACACAACGGGGCCTAGGCGCAGACCCAGAGCCACCAACACTTTTCCCTTCCGTATCATCTGGGGGACTCAAGGCAGCTGCTCATCACAGGTTGTGCATAAAGCTATGTGCCCTTCTCCCAAAAACCCTTTGGGGATTGGTTACAGCCAAACGCTCTGCGACAGCTGCCCAATGTGGTGGTATACTGGCATGTTCTGGAATCCAAGACTTCCTGGTCACTTCTCCAGTCACTCACCAGTCGCCTCTTTCGCTCTAACAACCAATCCCACCCCAATCGCCGTAACCAACTTCCTCCTCCCTCTCAGAACCTTCCCACATCATCCCTCTTGTCAGCTGTCGCGCAGGAGCTCCCACTTACAACTACAGCAGAACCTCCAACGACCAACTCAGCCCAGTCTCCCACCCTCTTCTCATCTCCCACTTCCTGCAGTCACTTGTATTGTCCATTAACACTAAGTGACGCAGGCAGTTCTCCTGACTACCCACCAGCACAGACAGTGGAACCCACACCGTCACCTCAACCCAGTCTACCCTCACCTCTCCTCCTTCAACCTCCTGTAACCATGTGTATTCCCCTATAACACCAGACAACAAAGGCAGCTCCTCTCATAACCCCCGCATTCTTTTTTAAACCACAGCCCTCATCTGCATCAACCACCCGGGGAATCGCAGACAGACCCTCCCTCCCACCATTTAACACTCTACCCCAAATCACGTGTGTCAAATTCGAATCCACATGATCCCGCTAACTCAATGACATTCACACAACCAGATCTCAACCCCTCCTCCTCTACTCCCCTCCCAAGCACAACCCAACCTATTGATTGCAGCCTAAATTTAGACATACCCACTAACCTAAATCTGACGCATCATGTAAATGTTAAAGTATGCGTGGAATATCTGCCAATATCCAATACCTCCTCAACCACCACTCTCCAAATCTTATGGCAATATTTGAACATTGGTTACTCGACTATAATGTACAAAAAATACAGGATTTGCACCCCAATCATAAGCTCCTGGCTGCTTGCCCACCACGCCAAGAAATGGTGGAGTAGCTATAGGATGGAACTCCTGCATAGACCTACGCATCAACCCAATGCCAATTATATCCACTCATCAAATGATAGGGATAGATATTCAGCTCTCCCCAGCCGCTCTGGCTGCACTGACGTATTCAGAGAATCACTAGATCGTTTAGACGCAGCACTGGGGTCACTCCCTCCACTATCAAACATCCTAGTCCTCGGGGACTTCAATGCGGACCCAAGGAGGCCCTACCACACAACTACTATGAATGAGCAGGGAAGGATTTTATTACCTTTCATGGAGAGATGGAACCTCGTCTCAACCCATCTCCACAGACCCCAATCGACATCCACCCATACAAATGAGAGCGACGCCCACTCCACCCTCTCAATTATCGACCACATTGTGCCATGAGAGGCTTTTAGGCAGACCCCCCTAAAACCGTTAACAACCCTCCTACTCCCCCATTCACCCCTCTTAATTGGACCTCTGTCTCCAAGGAAGCCATCTTCACTCTCTATACAACTCCCCTACAATAACAGCTGAAGAACATGCACAGTTCCCTTCCATCGCCAACAGTCTTAGCCCAGACCCCAAATGTTATTGATCTCAAACTCTCCATCATGACTCAAACTCTCCTCTCTGCATCCAAGAACATCCCTCTGAAAACATATCAGTCATTCAAACGTCCCCGGCTGGGGCCCTACGGTGAAGGCTGCGAGGAGGAGCTGTAAACACGCTTACAGACTCTGGGTGAATGCTGGCAGACCCTGCGACCCAAACAATCGAGCTCGGCTATCTTACAAACAAGCCAAGAGAGTGTTCAGAGCCCATATTTGGCTACACAGGAAGCTTGCTGATGAAGCCTTCGACAACTCCCTAGATCTTGACATGGATCCCCACAGCTTCTTTCAGCCGCCAGACCAGCTCGCAGGCAACAGGCCGGCGACGAGTTTCATCAAGGTTATGGCACCTCCTTTGAGGGCCTAGGAATAGTTGAAGGTTGGGCTAAATACTTCGAAACCCTTGCCACCCACAGCAGAAATCAATTGGAAGCCATGAAAAACATGTTTATAGCATACTAGCTAAAAGCATAATATCAGAGGAAAAGAAAGAACCTCCCCCACCCAAGCACACAAAACACATACAATAACATACCCAAGCATACAAAAACACAGACAATAACATATAAACAGAAAGAAAGAGGCAGGACCCTGGGTGCCCAGCCTTGAGAACCGGGGCGGTAGGTTAAAGAGTCTATGAATGTCACTCAGAGATACTCCGTCTAATAGCTGCGAACCAGACCTAATAATTGTGACTTAAATCCAAAACACCATTTCGTCTCTGCCACTGAGGAAGGCAGCAGGCCATGACCATCTCAGAAATGAACATCTTAGGTTTCCTGCCCCTCCTCTCGCTGACATGCAATCTTTAACTCAATCCTCCTCTCTGGCCAAGTTCCGACCTCGTTTCATCGTGGTTTAATCGTCCTGATCCAAAAGGCAGGAACATCGATGCCTCCAATCCTTCCAACTTCAGAGTAACAACTGCTCCCGGTGATCAGGAAGCTGCTTGAGAGACTCCTCTTATCTCGCTTAGTATCTAGCCTTATATTCACCCACTCCAATGTGGCTTCAGACCCAAAACCAGTTGTATCCACACAGCCTTTATTCTACAAGACGCGATACAACACCTAAGACGTCAGAAGAGGAAGGCATTTGTAGCATTTCTTGATGTTAAGAAAGCATATGATACAGTGTGGCATGAGGGACTATTTCTGAAACTTCTTCAATTCAATTTCCCCCTGTATATATGGACACTCCTCTATAACTGGTGATGTTCTTCTTCAGTTCTCTGGAACTCACAGATCTCCTGATCCTTCCCGAACCGCCAGGGGGTGCGGCAAGGTGCAGTGCTATCTCCCTTCCTGTAAACAAGGTACAGCTATCCTCCTCTGGCCATGGAACACGGATCGGTGACATCTACTGCAGAGCTCCCATGTATGCGGATGACTTGGCCCTCGTAAGTGACTCGGAGGCAGGTCTCCAGTACATGCTGGATATAGTCACACGGTACGCCGCTGAGTGGAGGTCTGAGTTGAATGCCCTGAAATCAGCAATTATGGTGTTTGGAGAATCTAAGAACTCGAGGGACTTGCTCCGCCAGATGCAGTGCATAAAAGCTGGATACGGTTTAGAAGTGTGTGCAAAAACAAATAATCACGTAGATAAGTTAAAACATGTGCTAATGTACGTAGAACACAGCAGATGAAAGCAGGTGCCAATGCTTATACACGTGCGAAAACGCAGAAGAACGTGTGAACGTAGAAACATTGTAAATGTTCGGTAAACGTAGAAATATGTGCAATATCGTGCAAATTACGTTCGCACATTCGCAGCTTAATGCGCTCGCGTGGATAGGAATGGCACGCAGTTTGATTCGGGAGAGTACTTAGCCAGTTGTTCACTTTTGCTCGCTGTTGTCAAAGCGGTTGTTATCTCTCGCTTCTCTCCGGCACAGCCATGGCCACGTCAACCAGCTCCACGCCGACTTCGAGTTCCCCGGCGACAACTGTGACCGACTACGTCTCTCGCATCTGCAGTCTCAGCTGCGGCAGTTAGTCCGACAGTCGCTACGTCAGCATTGGTTGACCAAGTAACGTCATGGGTGCTGCATTCTATCTTTCGCACAGCCTTGACTCTGGGACTTGCCTCTGGGGGTTCGATCTCCGTTCCAAGCTCCAGCGACCTGGGGGTATCCGCTTTATCTTCTCTTCTCAGCACCAGCAGCGTCCTCCCAGCTTCTATCCCTACTCCGGGTATGCATTTCTTGTGCTCGGTCCGTTGTTGGTGGCCTAACCTAGAGTCCCTCGGCGCAGTTGTTGTGGCGTATAATAGGGAGCAGAGGACCCCAGCGTAATGTACAGGTGGAGGAAGGCACCGGGTGGCATGGCAACAGCCTTGAGCGTGTAATGCGTATAGCCTGCGTTAGCAGCAGTGGGGCAGCAGCAGCATGGCTCACATTTGCAGAGATGGGGGGCGGCAGCAGCTTGGCTTGCCTCCGCAGCGGCGGGGCAGCTGCAGCAGCATCAGCGGCAGCAGCTTGGCTTGCCTCCGTAGCAGCGGGGCAACAGCAGCAGCATGGCCTGCGTCCGCGCCACGCGGCTGGCTTCCGCAGCGGCGAGGTTGGCAGCAGCAGTAGCTGGGCTCGCAGTGGGGCGAAGCTGTAGCGCCTCATGCCTCTGCAGCTGTAGCGACAGTGGCACCAGCGCAGCGCGGCGTGCTGCTTTAGCGGAGCTTTGCAGGTTTCCACCGCGCCCTTTCCTTGATGCCAAGGGATTTTTGTGTTTGTTTTTCGGTTCGTCGCTGAATCTAGCGTTTTTTGCTGTTTCTATGTGCAGCTACAGCCCCCGGCTCCTCGTCTGTGGCTGCCACAGCGGCGTTGGGGGCGATGCCGTCGACAATTCCTGCTCTTCTGCCATCTCCCTCTTACATCAACATCGTCAGCTACGGTGGTGGCGCCTCTGGTGCCAGGGGGTTCGGAAGCAGCGATCGCGTGGGCTACAATGATCAACGCCATTTCTGGTTACTCGTCTACACCGCTGAAACTGAATGTACAGTGCGTGTTCATTGCGAATGGCCTCCCCACCGTTCCAAAGAGCCTCCTAGAGAGAATTCAAAAATGGGAGTACGTAGATTTGGCACACTTGCTCCCGACGCAATCCCTGCATGACCAGGTGAGTGAAACAAGGGCGATGTTTACACTCTTCCCTGGCTGTGAACTGGTCAGGCCCAAGAAGCGACAGATTCAGTCGATAATGGAGTGGGTGAAGACCTTTACGGTGTTCACAGCGGCCGTCGCCCTGAAAGACCCAGCCCAAGTCGTTGAATTCCTAGCTTACCAGCTCACCAAGGCGGCTCAGTCTTACAACGGCCTGCAGTGGCGGGCGTATGATACACAATGCCCAATGCCCCTAGGAACAAGGCACGGTCGAAGCTCGATATCGACCTTTACACGCGTTACTTTACCGGACGAGCGAGGACGGTGCAGTGCTGCACTGTGTGTGACAGCTCCCAGAACACCGCCGCAAATTTCCCGTCAGGGCGTAAGGACAGCAGCAAGCCGGCAGCACTACTCCCCACGAAGCGGCAACATTCATGGAACCCTGACGTTTGCCAACTGTTTAATACCACTCTCTGCCCGTTCGGCCAGAAATACAAGTATAAGCACACATGTGGAGAGTGCGGTGGCTCCCACTACGCGAGGGCCTGGTCATTTACCCCCAAGCCAGCAGCGGCAGCATCAGCAGCAGTATGGCTCGCATCTGCAGAGATGGGCAGCAGCAGCGGCAGTTGTTGAGCGGCAGCAGCGTCAGTTGTCGAGCGGCAGCAGTTTGGTTGGCCTCCGCAATGGCTGGGTAGCAGCAGCAGCAGCGTTTGCGGTAGAGCAGCAGCAGCAGCAGCATGGCTTGAATCTGCAGGGATGGGCAGCAGCAGCGGCAGTTGTTGAGCGGCAGCAGCGTCAGTTGTCGAGCGGCAGCAGCATCGGCAGAAGAATGGCGGGGCGCCGTAGGGTAGCTGCGACGGAAGTCGGCGGCTGGAAGCATGCTGCCTTTCCGGGTCTAGTTGGTACAGCAGTTGGCGGCGGTGTTTGGCCAGTTGCGAGCAGCGATTTTTCTTGATTTTTCTTGTTCTCCCCCCAGAGGGCTGGCCCCGGCAATATCGGCGGCAACCCAGGGCGGCAACCCAGGGCGGCATGCCTGCATCAATTCCTGCATTGCCAGTAGTGGCGTTGGGAGCATCAATCCCATCAGGGGCGTCTGCCTTAAGCGGAGCCTCGGCATGCTCGTCGGTCGCCCCCTCTCCAACGGTTGCATCAGAGGCGGGCATCCCCGACACGGCTACAGCATGGATGGCGGTTTTGAGTGCTATGTCGGGGAACTTCGGCCAGGGAAACACTTTGACGAGCGACCGGGTGTCGATCGGCCATGGCCTGCCGACAGTGCCGAAATCCCTTCTAGAGAGAGTGCAGCGGTAGGAATCCATTGATCTGGCGGAGCTCGTGCCTCCCCAGTCCGTCCACAATCAGATGATCGACACCCAGGCGAGGTTTGCCCTGTTTGAGGTGATCCTCCCGAAGCGGAAACAGGTAGAGTCCATTACGGGGTGGACGAAGACGTACACTGTGTACGTCGCTGCGTTGCTTAAAAAATTCCCGGAGCAGGCGAGTGAACTGCCAGCTTACAATAATTAAGGCAGCTCAGCAGTATGACGGGCTGCAGTGGAGAGCCTACGATACCCACTTTCGGGTGGCCGCCGCAGCGACTGGAAATAGAGAATGGTCAAAAGTGGACGTTGACCTGTACACCAGGTTTTTCACTGGAAGGGCAAAGGCGGTGGCATGTTGCCACGTGTGCGATAGCACACAGCATCTGGCAGCGAACTGCCCGGTCAAGAAAAGAGAATTGTCATCACAATCGTGCCCAAAACGGCGGCATACCTATGCCTCAGATGTGTGCCCTTTGTTTAACTCCAGCCGCGTCTGCAGCTTCGGGCCTCGATGCAGGTTTCGCCAGAGTGTGGCAGGTCTCACTCGGCGAAAACATGCTCCCTTCTGCCCGACAAGACAGCAGGAAGGTGAAGGGAGCTGGCTGCAACGAGCAAGTGGACGGTGAATGTCACCTATACATCACCCTACCATCTTATATATCGCACTCTTGGTCTACATCACCCTCATGCTTCACCCTTGTTGTGTACATTATGGATGCGTGCCGCAGCGACTGGAAATAGAGAATGGTCAAAAGTGGACGTTGACCTGTACACCAGGTTTTTCACTGGAAGGGCAAAGGCGGTGGCATGTTGCCACGTGTGCGATAGCACACAGCATCTGGCAGCGAACTGCCCGGTCAAGAAAAGAGAATTGTCATCACAATCGTGCCCAAAACGGCGGCATACCTATGCCTCAGATGTGTGCCCTTTGTTTAACTCCAGCCGCGTCTGCAGCTTCGGGCCTCGATGCAGGTTTCGCCAGAGTGTGGCAGGTCTCACTCGGCGAAAACATGCTCCCTTCTGCCCGACAAGACAGCAGGAAGGTGAAGGGAGCTGGCTGCAACGAGCAAGTGGACGGTGAATGTCACCTATACATCACCCTACCATCTTATATATCGCACTCTTGGTCTACATCACCCTCATGCTTCACCCTTGTTGTGTACATTATGGATGCGTGCAGAGCGTTGGAGGCACTCGTATATAAATGGGGTCAGGATAAGAACCCGTCGCATGTTGTCTTTCCAACTTCAGGTGTGGTAATTCCACTCTTACCCCTCCCCCCCTTTCCTCTTGTCTTCTCCCTCTCTCCTCTTTTCCCTTCCCTTTCTCTCTCTCTGGTTCTACCACCCCCCCTCCCCACTAACCAGAATGTGGGCAGGAGCAGGTGTCCCACTGCCAGAATTGGGGCGACGCAGCAAGGTTCCGCCCACAGGGCAGCTGAGGCGTTTGGTAATGTCTCCCCTTCTTCCGACCCCAGCTTTTTTCTCCGAGGTCTCGACTCCGTGGGATTGGTGTGTGTGGGAGCAAGTGCTACATACACATCCGGATAGAGATTTTGCAGATCTCATTGTCAGGGGTATCTGGGAAGGATTCCGGATTGGCTTTCATTTCTCAGGGTTCGGCAGTACCGTGTCGTGCGACCGCAATACGCCCTCGGCTCAGTACCTCGCAGAAGAGAGTAGGCACAGCCACATCATGGGCCATTTCAAGCAGTTACCAACAGCTTCGCTCATAGTCAGCAGGTTCGGAGTCATCCCCAAGCGGGGGAGGGAGAACAAGTGGCGTCTGATCGTGGATCAATCCTTCCCCGAAGGGCATAGCGTCAATAATGGGATTGACCGGCTGAGCTGCTCGCTGTTGTACGTCACGGTCGACAACATTGCCGCTAGAGTGCGTGCGTTCTGAAGGGGCTCTCTGATTGCAAAGTGCGACATCAATCACGTGTATCAGCAGGCGCCAGTCCACCTCCAGGACCTCATCCTCTTCGGGATGCAGTGGAAAAATCAGTTTTACGTGGATACGAGGCGGTTCTCTACAGCTCTCGAGTGGACGGTGAAGGAGTCCAGGTTCGAGCATCTCTTCCACTACATGGACGAATTCGTCGTCCTCGCCCGCCCGGCAGCGCTGAGTGTGA